TTTCTTTTGACAAAAGGATGAAGTCTCTATCTGTCAGGGAAGCCGAGATATTGCAAAATAAAAAAGGTCTTCAACTTTTGAACAGCACTTTTTATATAAAAATTAACCCGGTCCTGAAAGGGTTAATTATTGCAAATGTCACTCAGTCTTAGGCTCATCCGTATTAAAAAAAGTCACCATCTAAAAAAAATTGTGCAGTACAATTTCTCTCTAGCTTATTTTGTAACTGTCAATCCAATGAGAATGAAATACGATCTCTGAATTCAAGACAATTGTTGATTATTACACTTTTCTGGTAATATTACAGAATCGATCAGTTTATTTGTCATCTCTGTTGTATTCGTCATTTGATGAAAAATTTTATTTTGCAACTTACTTTACTAAAAAGTAAACTATCAAAGAAAAAGACGTCTTGTCACATAAGCCAAGGAAGTGGATTGATCTTTAGTAAAAATCTTGTCAGAGCAGTCCCGATTGGGACTAAACTACGAAACCTATCTGAACAGTGGCTACTGAATTGGTATTGTTAATTCTTGGTTAATATTCTCTGTAATAAATATAAGTTAATAAATAATTGCTAGACTGAGGCCTCTGAGATCATTACTGGAGACAGTTTAAGATCATTGTTAACGGAATGGGTAAAAAATGACCAGAAACTCTAAGAGTTTGAGTATAAAAACTTACACTCCTTTTTTCTTGGAAAACTCTTGGAAGAAGTTTCACAAAACATCAATCTTGTTCATATCTTCTAATTAAAAAAAATTCAACAATAAATATTCTGCTTGTCATCGATAACCAGCGTTGACCATCATATTATGAAGTGCACATATTATTCCTTGTTTTTTTTTTTATTCAAGTAAAAAGAAAAAAACAGTACAAGAGCACATATGTTTATATATTGTTATGTGATCGATTGTTAAGACTTAAACAAAAGACGTACAATAACACTCATACAACAATAGAATCGAAGATAAATTATTGCATCGAGGAAGCAAAGAATATCTTGTAAAAAATGATAACATTTCATAAATAAAAAGAGATAACAATTGCAAAACAAATTATATTTGAAAATAAAAATGAATGCACACAGATTAGCACTGAAATAAATGATCAACACATAGCATTAAAAATCTATCGTGCAATAACGAATAAATTCATAATAATTACAATACGGTAAATTAAATCACAAGATTGGCATAAAATATTAAATAACTCAAAAAATGTACAAAATTTTTATTTTCAAAAAAATCATGTTGTCTTAAAACTAAATCCACTGACAACATGACTACATTCGTTCAAACTGAAAGTCAGGGGCATGTAATTCAATTTTATATAAGTTCAACAAAATTTTTCTCTACTATCGATTACTCAAAACTCAAAGTACATTTATCTAATTATAATTGTTTTTAATCTAACAAAAGAATAATAACAATTATGTCAAATATACATATACATGATATAAATAAATAACAGTAAATAAACGGATAGATGTATAAGGAGAGAAAATATTTTCTGTCAAAAAAAGTTACTTTCAAATATGTTTTTGTTTCTTTTCAGGCTCATACTAAAAAAAGAGAGACAAATAATAATCACAATAGACTAAACGGAAATTTTTCGGGAAAAAATAGTACAAAAGTTGGACTAGTGAAAAACTTTTTTCTAAACATAGTGTACACTGTTGCAATCTTCACTGGGGATTCTTTATCGGAAGAAAAAAGATAAAAATAAAATATTCAAAAATACATCAAACATCTCATTTTTTTTTTTCTATTCTGAAATACATACACGCTCAATAGTAAATGAATTCAATATTTTTAAAAAAAAAGTTTCACAGCAAAATTATACAAACATTGTATTCTAACTTCGACTTTAACAGAATAAAATTTATCAAAAAAGGATCGACAAATCGAAGATAAAATAAATCTTAAAAAAATGCGAAATGCAATATAAAGTGTTTGGTTAATGTGGCATGTTTAGTAGAGGTATTGCCGCTGTCTATAACCCTCTATTTTTAACAAAAAAATAATAAAAAATAAATAAACAAACGAAGATGTAGTCTCTTCATTACACACGATGTAAATTAAACTATTGCTCGTACACGTCTATCTGTCTAATCGTACCAATAGAATATGTAACTAAATTTTTACAATTTAAACAAGAATGGTCAAAAGAAAAGAAAACTACAAAAACACAGTATTCATAAGTGAAAAATAGATGTAAAATAAATTTTTTTATAATAAAAAACAAACAAAAACAAATCCGATGACTATATAATATTAGAAAAGTGGGTATGTATATTCATTGAATTTCAGCAAATTATCTTGAGTATGTTTGTGGAAAGAAGAAGTAAATAATAGAATGGAAGACTTATTATTATTTTATTACTATTATTCATTTTTGCCTCCATCACCGTATGAGTTGATAACGGGATATAATGATGGATTATTGTTCCCATTAAAACCATTCGTCGGTAATAAATTTCTTTTACTTGGAGGAACTAAATGATCGGGCAATGTATTCGGTAATTCATGACCCTCAAGTTTTATTTTAACTAGAAAAAGAAAAAAAAAATGAGAATAATAATGTATTTTTTAATAGAATTGATAATAAAAAGAGACATGTATGTACATACTTAAATGTTGTGATAATGCCCATTCGTCTATATCTAACATGCCATCTTTATCAACATCGGATAATTTCCATATTCGTCCAAGAACATTATTAGGTAATTTTGATTTAACCATTTCTTGTTTTGCTGATGCACCCGATATTTTTCCGCCAGAAGGCTGTAATGCTTGAAATAATCTATCATATTCGTCTCGTTGACGAGTAACAACCCAATCTGTTTCTCCAATTCCTGCGTTAATACCTTCAACACCTCCCATTTCAAACGGAGTCGATTGTTGATCACTAAATGCTGAACTAGATATTGGACGATCATGTGCAGCCATGTAATTCTTTTCTTCTTGTGGTATCATACTCATAAGTTTTGGTACATCTTCAGATAACATACGATCAACCCGTTCTAATACCTTACGATCTAATTGTTTAAATTTTGTAAAATCCTAAAATAGGAAGATTCAGCATGACGAATGACATAACATAAACAAATATTTTCTGAAACATATTTTGTAATAAAGAAAACATAAATCAAACAAAGCAATGATCGCTAGTCAACTTAGTTGAAGTACAGACATTTGTATTTTAAAACTTAAGTTCTCACCTTATATTTTTCTCAAAGATATTGTCTGTTTCGAAAAAGACTAGTCTCTTCCATTTTTGAATAACTTTTGATCTCATGGCTAGATAATCCAAAGTGTCCTCCTCAAAATGGGAAACAAACGCCCTTTTGATTTTTCGTAATTTCGGCGTGGTATCAGATTTCCTAGGAACCTCAGGATTAGTATTCCTTTACGTGTAGTAATCCTGAAGATGAATGGAAACATAGGCTATTGACCAGGATAAATTTCGTGACAGTATTTGTTTCCGAAGAAAACTCAAGAATCCAGTAATAACCTATAGGAGGTGAAACAACCTAGCTCTGGCTATTTTCACGGAAAAATGATAAATTCATAATTCACTCAAAATAGATCCAAACTACTACAGAACAGGGGTGTAACCAGTGTCAAAAATGCGATACCGGTATACAAACTTCGTACCGGTATCGACCAGTATACCGATAAACGGTTTACCGGTCAGTACCGGCTTGTCTTGATTATGTTTTGCCTAAATACAAATACTTTTTCCGTGTCATACATGTGAAGAAGTTTGTTAATAAAAAACCGATTACTCTTCTTTTGATCAATTACTTATGTTATCAAAGGGATAGATTAATCTTTTCACTTGAATTATGTATAGCTGATTTTTTTCACACGCTTTTTGTTAACGAAAACAGCAATCGAATTCAATTTCTTAAATTAAGAAGTTTATATAACCGGACTAAGTTTAAGTAATTGGAATGAAATTTTAGTGGAAGAAATATGTCACAGATGAACTGAATTTACATGACGTTTTTCGAAAAATCATATCATACCGCAAAATATCAGCCATATCCACCGCCTAATTATACTTCATGTTACTAATTTTTGGCGTTATAAGTCATACCGATACCGGTCGCACCTCTGCTGCTGAACATCAGGATAAACCCTATTTTATCTGTGCAATGTGATCCTGTACTTAAAATTACTAAAAACCATTTTCTCACCCAGGAACATCTCTTGAAAACCTTTTTAAAACTAAAGAAAGTACTTTTCATTAATTTTAAAAACTTTTGTTAAATTCCTACGTATTGCACCGATAAAATAAGGTTTATCGTTTGATTCCCATTTTGAGGACACTTTGGACTATCTATCCATGCGAGAAAACAAAAATATTTGTATGGCAACTTTCGGAATACTCCTCTGATTTTCCAAAGATCGAACTGAAAACCATTCTTTTCAAAGTATTTTCCATAGAATCATGTGTCCTGGTCTTGACTATCGAATGGCGAAAACCACAGCTTGCTAGCTGTCACAGAACAAAAGTTATTCAAAAAATGGTAGAAACCAATCTTTCTCGGAACGGATAATAACAGCGTTTTAGCAACATTTGATTAAACACCAATTTTTATCACACTGTTGCAACTAGTTTATACGTACCATATTTTTTAATAGTTCTTGCATTCGATCTAATTTTGGAAAATCGCCCATTGGAATATTTTGTTCACGTTGAATTTTCTCATATACAACATGAAGTTTCTAAAATAAAAAATAAAAATGCAAATCTTAAAAGTGTTAGCAAATTGTTTAATAATAAAACAGTTACTGAAATTAATTCTTTTCGTTTTGAATCTTTTCCAAATACGCTTGGCATATTTTCTTTCAATTCGCTTATGATAAGTGCATGAACCTAGGATAAATACGAGAGAGAGCATAAATGACGATTCATTTTCTGTACATACAACTTACTTTGGCTAATCTTGCTCGTTTAATTAGATCATTTAATTTTCTCAATGTTGCTGTTTTTGGCAATGATTCTAAATCATCCAACAAATCTTTTGTTTCTAATTCAAATAATCGTCTATTCGAATCAAAATGTAATGGTTTTGACCAAAACGAGCCAACATAAACTCGACACACTTCTGGTGTATTTAGTACTTTTCCAAGTGACCACATAAGTGCTCCATAAACTCTCATTAATTCTTGATGATCAATCATGTCCGCTTTATTAAGTACAATTCTAATTTTATCATCATTTCGTCTTAAAACTTCGATACAACGTTTCAATTCGTCGGATATATCCAATTTATGGGCATCAAACAATAACAAAATACGATCACATCTATCAGCAAACCATTCCAATACTTCAGAAAATTCGTAGCCACGATCAACACGTTGTTTTTCACCCGAGAGAATACCAGGTGTATCGATAAATGTAATTGACTCTAATACATCATTCTTAACATTCGAACAGGTGAAACGGTTTAAAAATGCATTACCAAATTTAGATAAACAACGAAACGGTTTTGATGGATCAACAACCAATGCATTCCCTAGAGAAAAAAACAAAAATAAAGAGATAAATGAATGATTACAATGAAACAGAGTTCCCCTTTATAGTAAGATGAGAGTAAAAATTCTTATCAGTGTTAGAAACAACTTACATACTATGAAATATTTCTTAGATCTCAAATTATAGATACTTTTCTACAAATGACATAGCTTTTTTTTCTACGTAATATTACCGGGTACTGTTCCATTATTTGGTCCATGCATAATGGCTATAAAACAATCTGTTGTGGGTTCTGGACCAATTCGAATTCCTGGAAAATCTTCATTTAACAAATATCGAATGAATGATGTTTTTCCAACAGAATATTGACCAACTAACAATACCATTGGTTTTGCTTCAAAATCAGAATCATCTAATGCAGGTGAATGAAATTCATGATACTTATATGTTTCTTCTAATGGTAATAATTTGTTCTTATAGACTTGACGTAAACCTTTGAAAAATACAACAAATATGAGGTAAAAAAATAGTTTTAATTACAGAGAAATAAGCGTACCATCAGAAACAGTATTATAAATTTCTTTTTGTGCTTGATCTTTCTTCCAGAACGGCATTTTGTCTAAATAATAAATATATAAAAGAAATCCATTCAAAAGTTAATCGTTTCAGTCTTTTGGTATTTTTTCATGTTTAGTTCCTATCTCTTGAGAATACTACTTTCAGTATTCGGGAGTGATGTTTTTTTCACGACTGGGCGAGTCCAAGTCATGAAACAAGCAAAGAGAGTCCGAGTCTTTGAAACGCGGTCGCAAGTCCATAATTTTTTCAAACCTTTTGGACTGTGATTATTTCTATTTCTTTTCTTCTATGCCGTACAACACATCAATCTTATTATAATAGAAAAAGTTACAGAAGTAAACTTCTAGTGCGTACATCAAACTGACATTAAAAAACTGAAAAGTTTCCCGTCGATTGATGTAAACACTTGAATCGATCGGACTCGAAACACAAAAACTCGAGCTCGAGTCCGAATGTTTCAAAAAAATCTTCAGTCAGAAAAATTTTCCCGTCCAGACTCAAACTCGCCCGGTCCAGTATTACTACATACAAATGTACTATCAATCATTATAATCGTTCATTACAACAAAACTATCGTTATAAAAATGATCTCTAACCTCGAAATACCCTCCCTATTGCAATGTTATTTGAACATCGATTAAGTTACTCCTTTTTCCTTCTTTTTGATAAAGACTATGTACATCTGTACAATTAAGAGTTTAAGGTTGCTGATTCGATATGTTCAAATAAACTTTGATTTAAGTTAATATTTGTCATTATTAATCTAACAATTGTCGATAAAATGTACGTGCTAGTGACCTCTGCTTCTTAAAGGCGTCATTGTATAAAGAACTTGCGCATATTTAAGTCTCAGAAATCGTACGCGATGATCTTAAATCTGACATCAATTTTTTATGAAGACTATCCAGGACATCTATGAGTTGATCACATTTAATGTGAAACAACAGATTAGATCAATCTAATATCCGGTGTGGACAAAAGTTAAGGAAATGATTAAACAACTTACAACTATTCGCTGCATCCTGCATGATCGTTTAGACAATGTTTAACAGTAGAAGGAAATGAAGTATTATTTGAGTACGAACTGTTTACTTTTTGTTTAAAGCTTGAAGCATTATTTGAACGGTCTCTATCGACAGCTGCAGTCGTTGTGAATAATAATAATCCTTTATATACGACACAATTACGATATACAATATCGTGAAAAGACGTCGATTCCTTTTTTTATGAAACCTAAACATATTATTATCACAGTTTCGGATAAAAACGAACGTAGACCTGATGATAATAATAATTAGTACTTTGTACATATTATATGTATTTTCTTCTCTTTCTCTTGTATCCGTGAAATACGTACATTGACCGATTTTTGTTCAATTCAAATAATAACAAACAGAAAACGAATTAGTATATCTTATATAAATCAAAGTGTGAGCATTACGTGAGCGATGTGTTATATAGCCATGAAAGAAGAAAGAAAGAAAAAAAGAATATTTGGACTATCTAAACTATTTCGACAATAATTGTATGCGATATGTATTCATGAACTTCTTTTTCATTCTTCAAATTATAAAAAGTATTCTTTTCTATTATGTTTCTCATTTACGCTGAAACGGTAATGTGGGCGAATAGCTCACAAAGGAATTCGAAAACTTTTCCATCGGAAAATATTGAGATGGTGTACGGTGAAAAACTATTTCGTCACATCTTCCTACCACCATAAATTCAATAACAGTGCTTATATTTTATATTAAATAGAACATTGTGATATCAAGAGACGCGGATCCAACATATACAGTTTTGTATAGAACTCTAATGCATCCTAATTCAATCGATCGCACATCTTTTGTGTCAAAATTGACGCAAAATAAGTACTAGTAGAAGCAGTAAGTCAATTCTTTACGATAAGTTTAAATGATATGTAACTAAGAAATAAAATATTATTTCAATTCTCCAAAACAACGTAGACTGTGAACAGGAGCAACATACCTAATGTAAATGAATAATTATTGTTTTCATTCAAATATAAACAACTCGACTGTAGATGATAATATAAATAAAAATTCTAGACTAGAGGGGATAACGCAAATTGAGTAAAAGATAATGTATCTAAAACGATAAATGAATTAAATTACAATATAAAAATTAACTTTACATTAAAAACTCTTTCTTACCACCTTCGAAGTACTCGCTATCATTTTCAAAATGAAAGTTATTTTCATTACGAACTGACGAACTTCTTTGATAGGTTAAAATGAGACTTTAAACAGTGAACAAGCATATTTAAAATCTTCGAACTGCAATGTTATTCTGTTTTACAGAAAGCAAACCGATAAAAATGTGTTTTCTTTTCGTTTACTTAAATTTTGATTTCATAATCTAATCGAGCATTCTAAATCTTTCAACATAAAGAGTCAGTAAACTTTTTGAAATATAAAAAGTTTCGTTTGACTGTTTGATTAAGTGTGTTGAGTATGTTTTAAAAGCAATTTAAAATTCCCGTGAGTTCAAGAAAAAGCACTAGAAGGTTAATCTTCTGTGTGTACGTGCGTGCATGTGCCCGTCTGCACAACATAAAAGATGGCCTATATGTATTCAATGGATAAACCAATCAAAAAAGAAAGAAGGAAGGATAAACACTGATGCAGTTACATAAAACACGAACAGCTCAACATCAAAGAACACAACGAATACTAGGTACCTCTCACTCCTCCCTACTAGGTATGAATACTAGAGTGCTATAAAAACTTTTAAATTATAACAGCAAATATCGAATAACTACAAGAAAGAGGACAAGTGATAACAGTGGTAACGTAGCACTCGTAAGTCAAAAATAACTAAAAAAACGGTCAAACGAAAGCATCCCTCAATTTTATCCATAAATCCCTATTATCAACGTGAAATTTCGAAATTTTGCGTTGCGAGCTCGACGTGAAAATGATATTCCTAGTGTAGGCTGAGTTATAAATTTTTTCGGAAAAGACCTGAAACTTCAAAAGTTCAAAAAGTGATCCTCAGTTGTAAAATAGTTGTATTTCAGTAGTCATTAAGTACCGGCAAACAAAACTCATACTGTTGATAGAGAAGACTCATGCTACATTTTGATAAAATGAAGTTTCCATCTCTCTTGGATCAGAAATTATTAACATTTTACAGAAA